TCATTAGATTCCGTGGAACATAACAATCCACTTTACACTACTAATCTATTGAAGCAAAATTAAATCCATTTGCAACACATACCACACATAAACACATGCCTCAAATTGCCTTTCACGTCTTATATTGTAAAGCACAGTTTGAATCAAACTTTTACACATTTCTGTTCCACCTTAACTTAATTCTTATTCAATTACTTATTCTGTCACTCCACACACTAACAAACTTTAAAATACCAATCATTCAACTACTTTTCACCCACAAAATATGCAGTCAATTCACTTTACAGTGTATCCTGCGAAGCGCTTTGAGACGTCTTGAAGACGTGATAAGGCGCTGTATCAAATGCCAGGATTATGATTATTACTATACTTGTTATTGAAATGAACCATTTAAGCAAAAACATATTTAAATTAAAGATTTGCATAAGCCCCCAATCATTCCTGGTGGAAAAGCAGTCGTGTATTTTAATGCATAATCACAGTGTGGCTGTACTCCCCCCAAATTGTAAAAGCACATGCAAAACAAAACCCCAAAAATCAAAGATAAAGTGTTTTCACAGCATCATCTGGTCACTTCCTGTAACTTGAGGGTCGGCTGTTCACCTGAACTAATGCACTTCACAAGGCAAAGAATTCTAATTGTGTTTTTCTGTTTCATATTGCAGCAAAGTAAAAAAAAATCAATAGCATTTGTCTGGCCTGCAGTAAAAATGGAATCTCTTATTGAGTAATTAAACACCCATTATTGTCACAGACAGCAAAACAATGAATTTTAAAAGAGAACCATTTTTTTTTCTGTAATGAAATGCTGGAGTGACAAATATCTCTGTAGAAATGGTTGGACAGCGAGTGGGACTCTCTACACATTCTGATACAGAGGAGAAGAAAGAATACTGGAAAAGGGAAAAAAAAATGATCACGCAATAACAATGTAACCTTGAAGTACCATCACTTCAGCCGCAAAATACAGGGTGCTGAATTTGAACACGCTTTGAACTTTATCTGTGGATCATTGTCTGTCGGGGCTTAAGGAACGCAGAGAATCTTAGCAGTGCAACTAATTTACATTGGTAAGAAGAACGAACTGCTTTGATTTCTTGCACCAAATGAATTAACACTTTGTTGACCACTGAAGAGTTGACCGAAATAAACTGCGGGGAATAAGGACCAAAAATATGACTGGATTGAGCATTTCACTTCTAATGACTGGGTTACCTGTCTTTCCGCATTACCTAAAGCCAGCCTTACTTTCCCTTGTAAATAGTGCATCGTTACTTAAGCGGGGAGCCCTCTGGTTACTGCAACAAATAGCTGATTTACTAATGCACCGGTCAGCAAGGATGCTGTCTCTCTGCCCACCACTGTGTACGACTGGCTCAAAGGCAGCTCAGTGCACAGTCTCTGGGCTGGAGTTGGAATCTGATTACATGGACCTTTTTGTCCACCGTTCCCTAAACCTTCGTGGCAGTTTACCAACATTTTCAGCACATTTTTACAGACCAGAGAACTGATAAACTCTCAGGTACCAAGGCAGGCTCCTGCAGTCAACGTCTGGCAATCGACCAAGTATGTAGCCACACAAATGCTCGAGGGCCTGAATGCATAAAGCACATAGCATTCAATGGACAGGAGAGAGAGTCACACAGAGAGAGGATATTGGAACGTACAGGATATATTCAGAGAGCTTTACTGCTTGGATTCGAGAGCTCTTAAGTACTTTTTAAAAAAAAATATAACGTTGGAATATTTTTTAAAAAAGTTAATTTACATTTATTCCCTTCGCCAGTCTTCAAATTGTTACAAGTGAAATTCCCCTCCTCCAAATAACACCCCCCCACAAAAAAAAGTTTAATTTGAATATTTTAGTAAGTTATATTATTGCAATTCTGTAGATAATGTTAATTGTTAAACTGCTCAATTAAATCATAAACAATCACAATAAAGACATCAGTTTTTAGGCAAATGTCTTCACGTGCCACTTGGGATATGATAATCACTGGTGTAAATCTATACAGGCTGATGAATCCTCTACAAATCTAGATTTAAGGGCATTAATACTGAACCTCTGGGTTTATTTCTTTCCCATTGGGGCCTGTGTATTATTCTGGATAAATCCCAACCTGCACACAAGAAATCCTGTCCCCTATGTTGTCATGTAAATATATATATTTGTAAAAAAATACTAACACACACACACACACACACACACACACGTTCAAATCTGTCTCTGCTTTAAGGCTCCATTACAAAGCATAACGCTTTAGCTGTTTTAGGAATAAAACAATCTCTTGCACTTCATTCTCCTTGAACTTAGAAGTAAATATTTCATTGGAATTGGGTGCTTTTGAGTGACTGGGGCTGAAAGCTTTGAATGGAATCACTGAGATTCTACAGGAGAAAATAAAAGCATTGCTGTCGTCTGTGCTTAAAAACTTTTTTTTTTATTCCCCCCACCCTCCTCCCTTTAATTTGTTTGTGCTGCATTGCTGTCATTCAAGTCAGAACAAAAAAATTGACCAAGGAAGACAATCTGAGCAGCTGAATGTTGATCAAGTCAGGGAAGTGTGTCCAGGATTTGAGGTCCTTCATTTTCACAGTCAGAGCAAACACATCCCTCAGAAGCAGACAGACACACACAGAGAGAGATACACACACACACGCACGCACAGACACAGAGAGACCCACACACAGATTCACTTTACCATGTAGCCCCCAACCTCGATCTGAGCTAAAAATATATATTGTCAGAGAACTCAAGAGATATAACACAAAGAAAAACATATCCAGCTGCTGAAAGGGTGAACATCATGCATATTACAAATGGCATGTTATATTTGCATGATGCCGAACTCCCCTGGGAATCCTCTTTCTAATCTAAAGCACAAACACAACAGTTAACATATTTGCTTACAGCTGACAAGACTCAGGTTGATGGCGTTTTACTGCAGCAGTGTTTTATTTACAGACAATGTAATAATAAAGTGGATTCATGGTTTGTAACAAGTACAGAACAAAATGTATTGTCTATTGTACATCAATCTACCTGCTCGGATATTCACTTACCATCACTTTTCCTCTATTTCACAATCCCACACACACACACATTAAAAAAGCACTTGATCAATAAAAGTTCAAAATAATTAGTTCCATTTAAAGACGAGAGCTAAGTTAGAAGATGAGGCAGCTTTGCATTCATGGAATACCTCTGTTTAATATTTAGTACTGATAAACAGAATAGAAGTAAAATTGTTTCCCCCTCCAAAAAAATGTATGTATCTTAAAGGTACAGTGTCCTGTTCAAATTGACTCTCTTGTCAATTTTCCTAATGTAAACTTCACCAGCTCGTTAGCTGGCAAATGGTTCCCTGTTTACCCCTCGCCCCCCGCCCCGTTTAATATCTAACAAGGTATTTTCTCCTGAAATGGAATGAAAGGTCAATTTATATAAGCAGGCAGGCAGCAACTTTAACTTTAACAGATCTGATGTGAACAATCGCATATTGTGTATATGTGTATATAGAGATATATTACTTTCAAGCAAGATTAAGAGAGAAAGGGATTGATCGCTTGGTGTCGCTTAAAGATGCAGGGAATCGAAACACATGCACACACACACCTCGGCAATTCGGTTCCATCCAAACTAGTTGAGTGGAGAGCTTACACCTAGACTGATCTCAGTAAACAGCTTTACGTTAGAATCAGCAGAGGACACCAGGAGGACAGCTTAGCTTAGGTAAGGCAACTGTCACCATCAATAGGTGGATGTACACTTCACTTCTTTGGTGTTTAGCGGGAGACAATTGAAAGGCTTCCTTATTCACTGATCAACCTCAAGAGGGAAGCTAAGGAGAGAGACAGGTGCCTGGCTGACAGCATGCTCATGGGCTGATGTGAAATTAACATAAGTTTTCAGTGTTATTTATTTCTACACCACACACAGCCAACTACCCCCCTAAAGTCTTCTTCTGCTAAACATGAACTAAACTGACTGTTTCTTATTGATTAGACACACAAATGACCGATTCCTGTAAATATCCTAAATGTTAGAATAAAACACAAAACTAGACAAAGCCTAGGAAGTCACTGCCAATATTTTCGAATCATGCAAAATCTTTTATTTATTTATAAATTAATTGTTCTCTTGGATTCCTGAATTTTAGCATTAATTGATAGCACACTTCTATTTTCCTCTGCCTTTCCACCTTTCCTCTCCCTTTAATTTTGTTTCTGTCTGTCCTTAACTGAAACAGCTCTGGGTTTTGCTGTGTGTGTGTGTGTGTATATATATATACACACACATCTGTATATCCATTCACTTCAATTAAATGTCATTTAACTACATGCAAAGCAGTAATAACATCAGTGGCTTAAGCTTTCATAAACTGCAATTGACTGAATGAATCAAGCATTTCCAAGTTGTGTTGCCAATAGATTTTGGGGAACAAATGGGTGAATCCATTGGAAGATAAATCTAAAACCATGGCATGGTTGAAGTACGCACTAGCAAACAACCTAACCCTAACCTGGTGCTTTCTGGCTGTGAATTTAGCACTAATTGAATGAATACCAAATTGCCAACAAAAAATAAGAAAGCATTCACATTAAATATCAAGCTCCCACCACACTTACACTTGAAGCCCCATCTCGATCTAAAACATTTATAAACGCTAGAGATAGCGAGATAGAGATAGATAGCCTCTCCACATCATCTGGTCTGGAGCACAGAACTACCCAAATCCTCTATGAATATATATTACAGGTTTAACATGAGATAGAGGAGGGGAAGGCAAGGGGAGAGGGGAAAAAATCTCCAGTTGCTTTACCATAAGAATCTATCTGTACATTACAGCACATTAGCAATATAAAGGCTTTCCTTTCTCTCTCTATCTATTTATCTCTCTTTCTCTCTCTCTCTGTGTGTCTTTCCTCTCTCTTTCTCTCTCTCTGTGCAATTGACAAATGCAACGATAACAATAATAATAATAATAATAATCACCTACCATAAACAGAGACACTGCTGATCATTGCTCGCAGCCACACAATTGGATTCACATGTAGAATTCCGACGGTTAGATTTTCATTAGCCACTTTTCCTCTGCTCTCCTCTGGCTATCAAATTTCACTTGCTTTGAAAAACCTTGGGCCCTTTTTTCTCTCTCTCTTTCCCCCACCGTCAGGTATTCATTTAACCTACATGCATATAATTAAAGAGAGGATGGAGAGAGGGGGGAGAGAGAGAGAGAGCCACATTAACACAAAAAAAGGGAATTTGAGACACAGAGCAAGAGACTGAGCAGGAGAGACAGAGAGAGCAATAGAGACACACACACACACACACACACACAGAGCCACACCAACAAAAAAGGATATCTCAGAGACTGAGCAAGAGAGAAAGATAGAGAGGAGAGAGAAACAGAGAGAGAAAGACACTCACACTCACACAGAAAGCCACAGCAACAAAAAGGGAAATCTGAGACTGAGCAAAAGAGAGACACAGAGGAAACACACACACACACAGAGACACACACACAGACACAGAGACACACACACACACACACACAGACACAGAGACACACACACACACACAGACACACACACACACACACACAGAGACACACACAGAGACACACACACACAGAGACACACACACACACACACACACAGACACACACACACACAGACACACACACACACACACAGACACAGAGACACACACACACACAGACACAGAGACACACACACACAGACACACACACACACACACAGACACAGAGACACACACACACACAGAGACACACACACAGAGACACACACACACAGACACACACACACACACACAGACACACACACACAGACACACACACAGAGACACACACACACAGACACACACACACAGAGACACACACACACACACAGAGACACACAGAGACACACAGACAGAGACACACACACAGAGAGACACACACACAGACACACACACACACAGAGACACACAGACAGACACACAGTGACACACACACACAGTGACACACACACAGAGACAGAGGGAGAGAAAGCCACATAAAAAGGCAATCCGAGAGACTGAGCAGGAGATGTGGACAGAGAGCTATGGACACACACACACACACACACAGGGAAAGCACAGACACTCACTCACTCACATATACATACAAATACAACCACATGATCACAAATCCAAGTCGCTGTCAATTTCACTCACTTCCATGGAAACTAACATGAAGCTCCATAGAGAGAGAGAGAGAGAGAGGGGGTGTGGGGGTAGTACGGGATCAGTGTACTGTATATATATCATTAGATTATCCATCTCTGTGTCTGTGTCTCTCAGTGCAATCCGCCCCCATCCCTTCTCAGCCCTGAAACAGATGGATGTGGTTTTGCTTTCTCTTCCTCTCCCCAACACAGGTTCAAGCTACAGATCTGACACCTCTCTCTCTCTCTCTCTCTCCCTATTTTCTCTCGTTCCCCCCTTCCTGAGTAAATTCACTGCAACTTAACTCAGTGCCGCCTTCCTTCCTCCCCTCATTTGCACTCCTCATTGACTTACACATCGCACAAGTTGTCTCCAACCTATTAAACCCAACTCCAGCCCAACCTCGTAACCAAATAGTTCCACATTCCCCCCGTCTTCATTCCTGTCTGACTCGACACACAGAAATAACCAGCATTACAGAGAGGGGGGGAGAGAGGGGGAGAGGGGGAGAGAGAGAGAGAGGGGGAGAGGGAGAGAGGGGGAGAGAGAGTGTGAGAGAGAGGGAGAGTGTGTGAGAGAGGGGGAGAGTGTGAGAGGGGGAGAGAGGGGGAGAGTGTGAGAGAGAGTGTGAGAGAGAGGGAGAGTGTGTGAGAGAAAGGGGGAGAGTGTGAGAGAGGGAGAGAATGTGTGAGAGGAGAGTGGGTATGTGAGAATGTATGTGAGAGTGTATATATGTGTATGTGAGACAGTGTGTGTATTTATGTGAGAGGGAGAGTGTGTATGTGAAAGTGTGTATGTGAGAGGGAGTGTGTGTGTGTGAGAGGGAGAGAGTGTGTGAGGGAGAGTGTGTGAGAGGGAGAGAGTGTGAGAGGGAGAGTGTGTGAGAGGGAGAGTGTGTATGTGAGAGGGGGAGTGTGTGTGAGAGGGGGAGAGTGTGTGTGTGAGAGGGGGAGAGTGTGTGTGTGAGAGGGGGAGAGTGTGTGTGTGAGAGGGAGGGAGTATGTGAGAGGGAGAGAGTGTGTATATGTGTATGTGAGAGTGTGTATGTGAGAGGGAGAGAGTATGTGAGAGGGAGAGTGTGTGTGAGAGGGAGAGAGTGTGTATGTAAGAGGGAGAGTGTATGTGAGAGGGGGAGAGTGTGTATGTGAGAGGGAGTGTATGTGAGAGGGAGAGAGTGTGTATGTGAGAGGGAGTGTATGTGAGAGGGGGAGAGTGTGTATGTGAGAGGGAGTGTATGTGAGAGGGAGTGTATGTGAGAGGGGGAGAGTGTGTATGTGAGAGGGAGTGTATGTGAGAGGGGGAGAGTGTGTATGTGAGAGGGGGAGAGTGTGTATGTGAGAGGGAGTGTATGTGAGAGGGAGAGAGTGTGTATGTGAGAGGGAGTGTATGTGAGAGGGGGAGAGTGTGTATGTGAGAGGGGGAGAATGTGTATGTGAGAGGGAGTGTATGTGAGAGGGGGAGAGTGTGTATGTGAGAGGGGGAGAGTGTGTATGTGAGAGGGGGAGAGTGTGTATGTGAGAGGGAGAGAGTGTGTATGTGAGAGGGAGAGTGTATGTGAGAGGGAGAGAGTATGTGAGAGGGAGAGTGTATGTGAGAGGGGGAGAGTGTGTATGTGAGAGAGAGAGTGTATGTGAGAGGGAGAGAGTATGTGAGAGGGAGAGTGTATGTGAGAGGGGGAGAGTGTGTATGTGAGAGGGAGAGTGTGTATGTGAGAGGGGGAGAGTGTGTGAGAGGGGGAGAGTGTGTATATGAGAGGGGGAGAGTGTGTGAGAGGGGGAGAGTGTGTGTATGTGAGAGGGAGAGAGTGTATGTGAGAGGGGGAGAGTGTGTGAGAGGGGGAGAGTGTGTATGTGAGAGGGAGAGTGTGTATGTGAGAGGGGGAGAGTGTGTGAGAGGGGGAGAGTGTGTGTATGTGAGAGGGAGAGAGTGTATGTGAGAGGGGGAGAGTGTGTGAGAGGGGGAGAGTGTGTGTATGTGAGAGGGAGAGAGTGTGTGTGAGAGGGAGAGAGTGTGTGAGAGGGGGAGAGTGTGTGTGAGAGGGAGAGAGAGTGTGTGAGAGGGGGAGAGTGTGTGAGAGGGAGAGAGTGTATGTGAGAGGGAGAGTGTGTGTGAGAGGGAGAGAGAGTGTGTATGTGAGAGGGAGAGAGTGTGTATGTGAGAGGGAGAGTGTATGTGAGAGGGAGAGTGTGTGTGAGAGGGAGAGAGTGTGTATGTGAGGGAGAGTGTGTGTGTGTGAGAGGGAGAGTGTGTGTGTGAGAGGGAGAGAGGGTGTGTATGTGAGAGGGGAGAGTGTGTATGTGAGAGGGGGAGAGTATGTGAGAGGGGGAGAGTGTGTATGTGAGAGGGAGAGTGTGTGTGAGAGGGAGAGAGTGTGTATGTGAGGGAGAGTGTATGTGAGAGGGAGAGAGTATGTGAGAGGGGGAGAGTGTGTGTGTGAGAGGGAGAGAGTATGTGAGAGGGGGAGAGTGTGTATGTGAGAGGGAGAGTGTGTGTGAGAGGGAGAGAGTGTGTGAGAGGGAGAGAGTGTGTGAGAGGGGGAGAGTGTGTATGTGAGAGGGAGAGTGTGTGTGAGAGGGAGAGAGTGTGTGAGAGGGGGAGAGTGTGTGAGAGGGGGAGAGTGTGTGTGTGAGAGGGAGGGAGTGTGTATGTGAGAGGGAGAGTGTATGTGAGAGGGGGAGAGTGTGTGAGAGGGGGAGAGTGTGTGAGAGGGGGAGAGTGTGTATGTGAGAGGGGGAGAGTGTGTATGTGAGAGGGGGAGAGTGTGTATGTGAGAGGGAGAGTGTGTGAGAGGGGGAGAGTATGTGAGAGGGGAGAGTGTGTGAGAGGGGGAGAGTGTGTATGTGAGAGGGAGAGAGTATGTGAGAGGGGGAGAGTGTGTGTGTGAGAGGGAGAGTGTGTGTGAGAGGGGAGAGTGTGTGAGAGGGGGAGAGTGTGTATGTGAGAGGGGGAGAGTGTGTATGTGAGAGGGAGAGTGTGTATGTGAGAGGGGGAGAGTATGTGAGAGGGGGAGAGTGTGTGAGAGGGGGAGAGTGTGTATGTGAGAGGGAGAGAGTATGTGAGAGGGGGAGAGTGTGTGTGTGAGAGGGAGAGTGTGTGTGAGAGGGGGAGAGTGTGTGAGAGGGGGAGAGTGTGTATATGGTGTGTGTGTGTGTAGAGAGAGAGAGGAAGAAACACAAATACGGAAAAAAATTAAATCGAACTCTGAAATCCTCGCAGCTCAAAAGGCAGAGTCTCGCGTGGTTTTTACACTCTCTCTCTCTCTCTCTCTCTTAATAATTCCTCAATGAAGATTTTTTTCGAGAGAAAAAAAGAAAAGAGCAATTAATTGCAGGTTTCCTTTGTGGGGTTTTTTTTTTGCATTGAAATAAAACTCTGACAAACCCATAAAACTGTGACAAACCCATAAAACTGTGACAAACCCACCTCTCGGTTATGGCTGCAAACCGTATTGTGTGTGTGAGTATATATATATATATATGTGTGTGTGAGAGTGAGTGAGTGAGAAGGATAAACACTCGGGAAGTAAATCACAGCTCTCTCTCTCTCTCTCTGTCTCTCACCCATTGCCTATTCTATGATCGCTTGGGTTCCCAGAGAGAGAGAGAGAGAGCTTCCCTGTGGTCCCTCAGCCCCTGTCCCTCAGCCCCTGTCCCTGTCCCTCAGCCCCTGTCCCTGTCCCTGTCCCTCAGCCCCTGTCCCTGTCCCTGTCCCTCAGCCCCTGTCCCTGTCCCTATCCCTGTCCCTGTCCCTCAGCCCCTGTCCCTGTCCCTGTCCCTGTCCCTGTCCCTGTCCCTCAGCCCCTGTCCCTGTCCCTATCCCTGTCCCTGTCCCTCAGCCCCTGTCCCTGTCCCTATCCCTGTCCCTGTCCCTGTCCCTCAGCCCCTGTCCCTGTCCCTGTCCCTCAGCCCCTGTCCCTGTCCCTGTCCCTGTCCCTCAGCCCCTGTCCCTGTCCCTGTCCCTGTCCCTGTCCCTCAGCCCCTGTCCCTGTCCCTGTCCCTCAGCCCCTGTCCCTGTCCCTCAGCCCCTGTCCCTGTCCCTGTCCCTGTCCCTCAGCCCCTGTCCCTGTCCCTGTCCCTCAGCCCCTGTCCCTGTCCCTCAGCCCCTGTCCCTCAGCCCCTGTCCCTCAGCCCCTGTCCCTGTCCCTGTCCCTCAGTCCCTGTCCCTGTCCCTGTCCCTCAGCCCCTGTCCCTGTCCCTATCCCTGCCCCTATCCCTGTCCCTGTCCCTGTCCCTGTCCCTCAGCCCCTGTCCCTGTCCCTGTCCCTCAGCCCCTGTCCCTGTCCCTCAGCCCCTGCCCCTGTCCCTGTCCCTGCCCCTGTCCCTGCCCCTGTCCCTGTCCCTGTCCCTGTCCCTGTCCCTCAGCCCCTGTCCCTGTCCCTGTCCCTATCCCTGCCCCTATCCCTGTCCCTGTCCCTGCCCCTGCCCCTGTCCCTGCCCCTGCCCCTGTCCCTGTCCCTGTCCCTGTCCCTGTCCCTCAGCCCCTGTCCCTGTCCCTGTCCCTGTCCCTCAGCCCCTGTCCCTCAGCCCCTGTCCCTGTCCCTATCCCTGTCCCTGTCCCTGCCCCTGTCCCTGTCCCTGTCCCTGTCCCTGTCCCTGCCCCTGTCCCTGCCCCTGTCCCTGTCCCTCAGCCCCTGTCCCTCAGCCCCTGTCCCTGTCCCTGTCCCTGCCCCTGTCCCTGCCCCTGTCCCTGTCCCTCAGCCCCTGTCCCTGTCCCTGCCCCTGCCCCTGCCCCTGCCCCTGTCCCTGCCCCTGTCCCTGTCCCTGTCCCTGTCCCTGCCCCTGTCCCTGTCCCTGCCCCTGTACCTGTCCCTCAGCCCCTGTCCCTGTCCCTCAGCCCCTGTCCCTCAGCCCCTGTCCCTGTCCCTGTCCCTGCCCCTGTCCCTGTCCCTGCCCCTGTCCCTGTCCTTACCTGCTCTCTCACAGCATCCTCCCACAGGTTGGCAGCCAGACTCCTGCCTTCACTGCTGGGCTGAGCAGCTCAGGGCACAGGCAGGGGCTGAGGATCATGGTGAAATCCTTCCAAGTTTTCAAACCAGTCTGCTTCCCAGGACTGCCATGTTGGAATTCACTCCAAAAAACAGCTGCCTCTGAGCCCCCTCCCACCCCCCACCCCTCCCACCCCCCCCCCCCCCAGGCACAGGGACACACGCATGCGTTAGAGCTGGAGAGGCAATTTCAAACAAGACATCACACACACACACACACAGAGCACAGCTACAGAAACCTCTCTCATGCCTTACAAACCCTGCAGCTCTGCATTCAATGCATTTTTGCCCACATAATAATAATAATAATAATAATAATAATCCTGGCATTTGGTATGGAGCGTTATCACAGTCTTCCAGACGTCTCAAAACCCTTCACAGGATACGCTGTAAAGTGAATTGACTGCGTGTTTTGTGGGTGGAACCGCAGCAGACAATTGTGCCCATCAGCGTCCCACAAACAGTCGTGGGCAGAAGTGACCAAATTATTATCATTTTTAATAAGCGCAAAAATAATACTGATAAAAATACACAGTCACTACACTTGGCAGTATATTCTGTGAAGCACTTTGAGACGTCTAGGAAACATGATAAGGCGCCGTATCAAATGCAAGGATTATTATTATTTTAAATATCCTCACCTAGTGCTGGACAGTCAGGGATTTGGACCCAAGCTGGGGGTTGGCATCAGGAGGGGTGGAGGGTATGGAGGGTGGGGGTAGGAGGGTGACAGAAGGCACGGTTGAAGAGGAGAGTTTTCAGATCCTAATGTAATCCTAAATAAAAACTAATTTCCAGATTTTTTTTTACTGCTGATCAATAGGGCAGCTGGTGAAAATTGACAAGATTGTATTGTCAATGTAGTCATGTCAATCTCTGACATGATTTTGTCTCGACACTGGGAACTGTGAGCGTGGGGTGGGGGAGTCAAAAAAGCAAACCAATTGGCCCCAAAAACCCAATGAGTGAACTTGTCAAAGGTTAATGGCTTGAATTCTAACCAATTAAACCCTAAATCGTGTTTATAATAATAATCCTCTTGCATTTGATATTAAATATAAACGTGTAGATGCACACAGTACATTGGATCTGTAAAACTGTATCCAAGCAGGAAGGTATCTGATAAACAAATTTACTCAGAAACTCACAGAACATAAACAAGGATCATGTAAATAATAATAATGTAAGTAATAATAATAATAGTCCTGACATTTGATACAGTGTCTTATCACATCTTCGAGACGTCTCAAAGCGCTTCACACAATATACTGCAAACTGAATTGACTGTATATTTTGTGGGCGAAACGTGGCAGCCAATTGCGCACAGCAGCGTCCCACAAACAGCCGTGGATTGAAGTGACCAAATTATTATTTTTAATATATATTTCTCGAAGGGATTATTACCCCCAGAAAAGCGATCTGCCAATTGACTGACAAATGGGTTACTGCTCGGTAAACAGGTGTGTGGAATAAGGAAACTTATTATATAGGATTATTATTATTTATGCATGAATCCCTTCCATGCTGATTCAATGCTTCTAATTAGTATTACTTTTCATCTATCTACGTTCTATTGTGTGTCCTGTTTTCTGATTATAAAAAGTATTTGTGTGTCTGCCTGTCTGTTGAACGTACCTGTTTGGCTTGCTGTAACTTTCCCTGCTTTCTATCACACAGAACGACCTGGGAAAATGAGTTTCTGACTGGCTGAAACCCAGTTTGCAATTCTAGTTTCTCAGCCAATCAAACAATAAACTGTGGGAGTTTCAGGAGCCATGTTATTAGGATGACATCTCAAATATGTTATGTGATTTTCGCGTGATGCCAGCGAATAGAAATTCCTGGATGAGATAACTCATCGACAGCCTAGGGAACTGGTTATGTCAAAACAAGTTATGTTGTCCACTGTGCTGCTAGGTTGACACAAATACCTGTTCCTCCAGAGACACAGCGGTACTCAGAAGAACTTAGACGCGTAATCCACAATATCAATAGGGCATATTTCTAAAGATTTTTTTAGATCCCAGCTGTGTCACACCAGTTGGTACAACATTGGTGATTCCCAGTTATAATAATAATAATACATCTTGCAATTGGTATAGCGCCTTATCACGTCTTCAAGACGTCTCAAAGCGCTTCACAGAATATACTGTAAAGTGAATTGACTGCGTGTTTTGTGGGCGAAACACGGCAGCCAATTGCGCACAGCAGCAAACACACGTGGATTGAGTGACCAAATTATTTAATTTTTTTGAAGGGATTATTACCTACGAAAAGCAATCCACCAATCGACTAACAACCAGGGTCCTACTTACTGCCGGGTAAACGGAGACATGTGGAGTAAGGAAACTTGCCCAACATTTTTCCCTGCCCGGGAATCGAACCCAGGTCCTTTTGCTTGTGAAGCAAGTACTCTAAGCACTGAGCTTCAGGACTCCACAAAGCTACAGGATTTGACTATAAAGCAGGAAAATGTTTTTTATTTGATGCTACTTGTCCGGCTAGGGATGCCCTACGCACCAGCAGTTTTTTTGTCTTCCCGATTTGAGTCTAATTGATGAGTCAAATAGTCTCGCCAGACGTTAAAATAATTTTTTTAAATAAATACATTTTAAAATAGACACCCCTACAAACTCCTGCTTACCTTGTTTACAATATACGAGATTGTGTCCAATGATTCCACTATTAATTATTTCATATATATATATATATATCTACTGCCTGTGAAAAGGGAGAGATCAGCATTTGGTCAGTGAGTTGAACTTTTATTTCCCCAGCTTGAATATCTCACATTAAAGTAATATGGTCACATTAAACTTTACTCTTTATTCTAAATATGTGACGGTGCCTAAGTGCAAATCTCAACTGGAGCTCATTATTTGAGAAACAAAAAAGATATTGCACTAGGCATTTACATTCTGACTAATTATACAGCACAAATTATTGCTGAACTTAGTCTAAAAATAAAAGTGGTGTGAAACCGTAGAACATTTGCGAGTAAGTATTTTACACAATTCTTTCCGTCTCAAATTGTGGAATCTTGAGGTTTGATTCCCTGGATTTAAAAGAACTCAGGAAACCAGGGAATATGAAATATGTGTGGTATTGATACAGTATAAATTGGGTTCCCATTACTTGCTCATTGCAGTTTGACGTAACAACGTTTTAAAATCAAAATACCGAACAAACAGAAATCTAGCATACCTACATAAAAATAGCCTCTCGCATTCAAACTCAATCCATTTGTGTTTCAATCAGAGCATAAGAATGTTGTAAGATTGCATTAACATTAGACTGCTACACTTGCGTTGACCTTCATATTTAAAATATTCCTACTTAGGCATTTCCTACATGTTATACGGCACCAATACACAGACACTAATGATAATTATAGAACAGATGCTGATTTAGTCATTTTAAGAAAGAGTAGAGGCATAATTAGTGCTTAAATGGCCTAGTTATTACAATGTTATAGGAAACCCAGACAAATCTTAAAATGAGAACATCTACTTGTCTGATAACAGAAAACACGAAATACATAATTCATTCATTCATTCAATTGGAATCGTTATATCAGAGTGTCACCACAAACAGTAATAATGATCCAATTCTTTGTGAGTGGTTTGTAAGATACCGCAGTCATCTGCAATCATTTAACAAATCCTTTGGGGATCAAATAGCATTTTCTGGAATTCTCGGTGGCGTTTGTGTAATAAAGTACGAACAAACAGAAAAAATGTGCAGTCGGTCCCGGTCATTCTTGAAGAATTCAAATGTTACCAGCGGGGAATTTCATTTCAGACATAACAGTGTGAAAATGTATAAATATGCCATAAAACAGAGAAAGGTCAGCCCACCCTTGCTTAAACAACGGAATTTATACTGTTCAAATATTGTATTTATCTTATTGTACTCGGGTCAACTGTTATGGAGTAGAGAGAAGTGTATCATATGAGAAGCTAAAGAAGCATTTTTCAACACAAACACAAGGGATTGGATGATTATACAGCTTTCACAGGCACAGGCACTGGCACAGATACTGGCACTGGCCCAGACATTGGCACAGCCACTGGCACAGACACTGCATCACTCAACTGCTGTGAAATTTGGTGTAGATGTTCATGTTCCCAGCCTCGAGTCTTCTACGTAATAAAGAAATGATTTGTTTATAAGTATGATTGAACAGTATTGTGCCTGATGCAATAATGTACGTTTAACTGTGGTATGCTTAATCACCATATGCTGAGGGCACAACATATATACACTGGATCCTATGGTGCCTTCACTTCTGAAGCCTTCAGTCCTGGCCTGACTGTCTGGGGTGAGTGGTGGTGAGTGTGTTTTCCCTGACAGCTGTGGGAGGCGCAGTCATAGCTGAATTACATTCTGGCCATCTCTGCCTCGTTTCCAGTGGACATCAGGCCACAGCACAGGCAGAACTCAAGATCAACACCTAATATGGTTGTCTTTAGCCATGAAAAGCCTCCATCTGGAACGAGAGGAGAATGGAGGGATTTTCCCTGGTGTGTTTGGAGAGAAAAACACTCTTTCACGTTGGGTGTCAACGTACAGTTTGGAATGCGGGGCTCAGCATAGCATAAGTAGCACTTATTGCGTTGTAGCAAACTAGAAAAGAATCCTTTAATATTTGCCAAAAATTCATCTTCGCTCAATTCGACACCTCACAAATCCATACCTCTTTATAGTTTAATTTGAAAACTACGGGTTCAAACCTGTGTGTTTCTCATCTTATTTCTGCTGTATATGATCTACTGTTCAGCCCGTGAGAAACCATTAGCCTGATCCTCAGTAGGTGGCTGAGTTAGCTGAGCTCAGGGGTGTGGAGGGACAATTCATCTCCGGTTCCATTCTAGTCCAGGATATTGGGGTGCAAACCTCTTCTTTCAGCTAACGCCATATCAACCTGACCTCTTCCTCCACTCAGCGGGCTCCGGCTTGCTCCACTCCACCCAGCCTCGGCTGTCGGGCCTTTAGCCTCTCTGCCCCCGCACTTTGGAACGCCATCCCACAGTCCCGTCACCTCGCTCCCTTCTAGCGTTGCTAGA